GACTCAGTTTGACGCTGTAGAACATGAATTGACTCAATTCAAATCTTAAGAACCAAACACTGACTCAGTTTGACGCTGTAGAACATGAATTGACTCAATTCAAATCTTTAGAACCAAACACTCAGTTTAAAGCTGTAGAACTAAGCACTGACACAGTGTAAAGCTGTAGAACCAAACACGACTCAGTTTAAATCTGTAGATCAAACTTTGACTCAGTTTAAAGCTTTTGATCAAACACTGACTCGGTTTAAATCTTTTGTATCAAACATCTCAGTTCTTCATTCGGACTCAGTTTTAATTATAAGTCTAAATATCAAACACTGACTGTTAGTCAAAATCTGATCTCTTTGTTTTAGAACATCTTGGTAATTTTACTATTATCCTTTAAAGAAAAGAAAATATATTTTTACATATATTTATATATGAACACAGAGTGTTTACCTTTCCTTGATGACTGTAACTGTTGGAGTTAATTACCAGCCCCTCTGTGGTTACATTGGGTTTGAGCAAGGCACTCCTGCAGCGAGGGGTTGTGGGTTTGACTCTCTGTGGAGCACAGTGCACATGTCTGTCAGCGATTAGAGGAGCTGATGCAGTAAATTAGTGTTAAATCTCATCATTTAACTTAGCAACACGCTCTCGTATACAAACAGTCAAAACGCCCTGCAGCCACAGGAAACCAGGTTTTCCTGAACGCGTTGCATCTGCAGCTCTGCTGTCAATTAGCGTGTTTATGGAGGCTAATGGAATGAGATTCAATCAGCGCTGCTAATTACCCAACTATGTGCAAAGAAATCACATTAATGCCGCTAATTAAGTGGATGGCAGTGGATGCCACCTAATTGGCACAAAAAGTCTCGTGTGAAGAGAAGAAGAGGCCAAACAGAGCAGAGAGTCATTAACCGCCTCTTGTCCTGGTGAGATTCTGACGGGTCGGTGTTGTTCTGCTCGGAACAGAGAAGAAGAGATTCTGCAGAAGTGAAGAATCTTATCTGCTTCAAGTCAAAGTGCACATATCTAATTAATTTAAAACACAAACAAGAGGAACAAACAGGTTCAGGTTTGAAACTAGTTCAAGATCATGTCTGTAAGATCAGGTTTGAAACTATCTTTAGGTCTGGATTTAGACTAGTTTAGGATCAGGTTTAAAACTAGTTTTAGATCAGGTTTGAAACTAGTTTAGGATCAGGTTTAAAACAAGTTTTAGATCAGGTTTGAAACTAGTTTGGGATCAGGTTTGAAACTAGTTCAAGATCATGTTTAAAACTAGTTTTAGATCAGGTTTGAAACTAATTTTAGATCAGGTTTAAAACTAGTTTTAGATCAGGTTTGAAACTAGTTTTAGATCAGGTTTAAAACTAGTTTTAGATCAGGTTTGAAACTAGTTTTAGATCAGGTTTGAAACTAATTTTAGATCATGTTTAAAACTAGTTTTAGATCAGGTTTGAAACTAATTTTAGATCAGGTTTAAAACTAGTTTTAGATCAGGTTTGAAACTAGTTTAGGATCAGGTTTAAAACTAGTTTTAG